ACCCATGTAAAACATAAATACAGTTTAAACACAGTACAATAAACCCTTTATAATAAACACTTCTCTACATATACATTTCATTATTCTTAAATCCAAGAACAGGTTGAGAACAGCAGATTCTCTACCAATATAATCAATTGCCAAAAGGATTTGTTTCACTTTTAAAAACAATTTACCAATTTCTTACATCTGCTGGAATTGCTGTTTGCATCTGTAAACACTGCTCTAAATCATTCCATCAAAATCAATGGCTATATGGACACAGTATAGTTTCTTAGGTTAAAATAAATGGAAAGTCCATTAAGGTAGAAGTATTGTGTGCACATGGGACTCTCGATCATGATCACTGACTAATTTTGATTGTAAAAGTGTGATTCAATTTCACTTCTTTTGGAAAGGACTATTTCCATATGGAATTCTGAGTTTTAATGTTATCCACCAAAACATCCATTTTCCAATTTAGGAAATGTGCTCCTTGCTCCCGTATTGAGACTCTTAGATGGATCAATGAGGCCACTAGGGCAAGGATTCGTCAACTTGCTGTATTCCAGATGCAGGATTGTAGATATCATCTCTACCTAGTATATGCAGCGGGGATGGGAGTTGAACCCTTTGCATTAGGAATTGCAAGCTGTTGTTACCACAGTGTACAGATTAATATTATTAATATGATTGAAATGTAATTATGCAATCATTGTCTCCTCTGTTCTTTCCAAAGATGTCTACTGTTCTTATGCCTGCTGAGTTTAAAGAAGATGAATATGATACTAGAGACTGTGCAGCTCTTAAGGTACACCTCAACTTTTTTGATGAACAGAGCTCCAGTCCTATACACATCTGCCTGGGAATTACTTCAGCAGTTACTTTTATCAGAGTACATGTGTATAGAATGATACTTTCTAAATACATTTAAACAAAGCGGAAATACTTTAGCTGTGTATTATATCAGGGCATTGTTTTTACAGGAGCAAGTCCATGGAGAAGGGTCCTCTGGGTTGCTAATGGATCTTTCCCAGTTCTAGAACTTTAAACCCTATCATTCATGTCCCTTGCTTTCTGAATAGTGCCTCCTGCCAATATTCATTCGCTACAGAAAGGCTGAAATAATGTATTTGGCTATTAGACTAATTCCTTGCTGACTTCCTTTGAAGGATTCCCCACTGAACACAGATAGACTTATTTCCTATACCGTGATCACTAAGGTGTTGTTCTTTTTTTGTCAATTGACTGGTCCAGTGGAAGGAAGGAGAGACAAGTATTAAAAGACCAAGAGAAAAAGAAAAGTCTTTTGTAAATGGTTGGCTGATGTTCAGTCCATTTCAGACTTAACTTACAGTGAGCATAGTGCAATTTACTTACGATTGTGAGTAAACATTCATAAGATGGTATTTCACATCTAGAAACTGGTATTAAATTTCCATATTTCCATTGTCTTTATTTTGCTGTTCTGCAGACTCTTAGATCCATGCGACGTTCATATATATTTTTCCATTTTGAAGACAGAAGTGAAGATTTTTACTTAAAACCTTTCCATTGTGGTTCAAAGCTTGAATGGGTATGCCAGATCACTAAAGGTAGGCCTTAGTAGCAAACCCCTGTAAGCTCAATCCTGTCTATATTCAGGATTGTAGTTGACATGCCTTGTTCCTAAATATGCCTTTTGGCTTTTGTTTTGGTCACTGTGACCCAAATGTCCATCTTCCTGAAGTATTTGTTACTCTTCTATGCATTCAAGTCACTTCTGACTTACGATGATTCAGGCCCTTCTACACTGTGCTATATCCTAAGATGATCCCGCATCATTTGCTATCCCAGATTATCTGGCAGTGGAGACTCATATAATCCAGTTTGAAACAAATAACCTGGGATCAGATCCTGGGATATAAGGACAGTGTAGAAGGGGTCTCAAAGACTCTGGACATTTTTGACAAACTTTCTGCAGAGAGGAAGGCAAGGAGCTTTTCTCTCAATCTGGTAGAGTCTGATTTGCCCAAGGTCATCCAGTGGGTTTCAGTGTCTGAGTTCCGATCCAAACCCTGGTCCCCAAAATCATAATCTAGCACTCAAGTACTGAATTATTATTATTATTGCCTTGTGGGTATTTTAAAGTGATGTTTACATTGCTTTTTTAATATCCCATGTCTAATTTAAACCAGCAAGAGAAGTTACATGTGTGATCTAAAAATGACTCTCTTGCTTCCTGTCCTACATAGCCAACATTCACTGAGAGAGCCAGTTGTAACATTAGGCAAAGTGAGGCATCTGGATCTTGCAGCACAATTTGGATGCACTTCATGGCATATTTTTAATTAATCATTACATTTTCACCATGGTTAAAGTGTACTCTTTGGATTTTTGTCTTGGCTACTGAAATGTTTGGGATCGGTATTGCCACTTGATTAATGCTGTAGCAAAAAGGCAATCTTTTACTTTAATAAGACTTTATTAGGTGTGTCTGTTGACTACTCAAAGCAGTAGCCTCACATCATTTTCTTATTTCTAAGCTGTAAAATTATCATAAAGTAAAACAGATGCCTGACAACCTTGTGCTTTGAGTTATCTGTTTTGTTCTAATTCATTGGTTGCCACTTGCAGAACAAGGGTATTAGTAGGATGGTGACATGCATCACCTGGTGTATCCAGCTCCTTGTAGGAATTTTATTTCATGTTCTTTCCCCCCAAAAATGCTGGATTTTGTTTGGTATTCCTCATCTACAATCAAAGCTTGGCTTTCTAAAAACAATTTATTACTGTTTGCCCACTGGTTTTTTTTAATTGAGTTGTTATTAGTAATTGTTACATGAAGACCAGTTATTTTTGGGTTCTTGCCTGGAAGTTAAACATTGGTACTAATCTACTTTAAGTAAAAGAAAAAGAAAGTCAGAATATCTTGTAACAATTGTTTTTAAATATTTCTTCCTCTGTATGTTATCTATTTAAAAACCTGTTAAGGAAACATGTATTCTATTTCATTTAGCTTTCTTTTAAATTGCAGTTCCATTCAAGTTTATAAACTGTAATATTCCCACGGTGCTTGCATGTTTCTGTTTCCACTTTAAATCTGGTTTCTGCCTCCTGCAGAATTCTGGGGTTTGTTGTTTAGTGAGGCTTTAGTGTAGTTTAAAGGCTTCTCCCTAAACTACAAACCCCAGAATGTTGCAGGAGGAAGAAACCAGATTCATTCTCTAGTGTAATGAGGTCCTGTTGTTGTCTTGGTGACATTGACTCCATATGTAATCAATGCACCTCAGACATTACTCTCCTTCTTCCAAGTATATCTGTCAGTCACAACAAAGTTTAGTTGTTAAGCAACTCCTTATTCTGTCCTATTCAGAAGGACATGCCAGAGTTCTATTTTCTTACTTCTGTATACAGTACTGAAGTCTTAGCACATTAATTTTTGAACCACTTATCTAATGAAATAGTTACACTTAACTGGATTAAAAACTGCTGTTTTGTCTGTAGTGGTTTCTATCTCTTTCTGTTTCCTGTTCCCTGATGCAAACATCCCTGCTTTGAGGACTTCATTAGTAAATTACCATTAGCACTGAAATGGAAAGTACAGAACTTTCATGCGACCGTCTATTTTTGCACTCTTTTCATTTAGCATCTACCATCACAGACCAATTAGTCTTCTGAATTGCAAAGATATATCTACCCATATCATCTGAACATGGGAAAGTACTATATGGTCCTCTGCAGGAAGCAAAAGATAAAAAAACACCCTTTAATCCCAGTGGTGTTATTTTTGGAGGCAATGCTGTGGAGCTGTATTACATCAGAACAGTCTTTAGCAACCTAGTTCTGTTTTTTTATAGTAATGCCTTTGTAACTTCCGAATTGACTTTTTTTTTTTTTTACTATTTCTATTGCTTTGGTACTTGCTAAGGAAAGTGAGCTTTTTTCTCTAAGAAACTTCCCTTCAATGCAGAAAGGTTTTTTTTAGAAAGTGGATTTTTTTTCTCTAGTGTGATGAGGCTGTGTTTAATCCCTCACTTTGTTTAACAATGTTGTTAAGGGGGAAAATCGCTTCTAACCGTAGGGCATTCAACACATCCGGTAACCATTTCTCTTTTGTCTTGTGAACAGGTCGTACTCCAAATGTACCAGAGTGGTACAAGCCAGGTATGCAAATGTTTATTTTCACACATTGTTATTCATTAAAATGGATGGAGGGGAGAAAGACTTCAGGGGCTGTAATGTGGCAGTGATCACAAGGCAAAACCTTTGGCAGATATACTTTGGTTCCCTAACTTGGTTCTTATCATAAATGGCATCCTCGTTTTTGCACAGTTCTTTATCATGCAGCATGCCACACACAACATTATGTTTTGGTAATGTGTGCGTTTAATACATTTTCTCATTGACTAAAGCATGCTATACATTTTCTTCAAATTTTGGTCATTCACATATGTTTTTGTGAACATTTTTTGTTTGGCCCAGACAGAACATATCACAAGTTCCAGAAATGAAATTATTTCCGTGGCAAGATGGACTTGTCCCATTGCCAGTGTTTGGAAGTGCAAAACTGATGTTTTCATAGGAAGATGCAAAGCCAACAATTTTTTTCAGGCCAAATTATTTCAGATGGCCAGAGGGTATTTCAGTCCAGCAGGATCAGGTGGTCTGAGGAGACAATACAATTCCCTTACGCCTTACAGGATTGCTTACACTAGCCTCATTCTGTAAACTGAACTGCCCGTAGATTGATTCCTCACTCTGTCCCTGGCTGATCCATCACTTTAATTCCATGCCAGCAGCTTTTGAACTATGTTTAAGCAAGCTTATGAGCAGATAACAATTACATATATTATGTAATATACTGCTATTATAGCAACTTACAACACAGCCCTGAAGGGAATCTGAGCAAGTGATCAGCAATAGCTAATTTTAAGTGGTCAAATGAAATATATGATCATATTATCCTTCTTTGGGAAGAAACTTACATTTGTCCTTGGTAGGTCTTCTTTGGGGAAGTGGTAGGTGACTACTGAAGAGTAGTCAAAGAGAAAGTGTTTCAGAGATATTACTGATTTTAACTGCAAGTCGCTTCTGGTGTGAGAGAATCAGCCATCTACAAAGATGTTGCCCAGGGGATGCCCAGATGGGTTACTTTTATGCAGGGAGACTTCTCTCATGTCCCCCTTACTGGCACAACCTGACAAACACAACCACACACTTGTGCTTTGCTACTCTGCTGCTGAATACACATGCCCAGTGTGGAATAATCTCATCACATTAAAACAGTGGATGTGGCTCTTAATGAGACATGCCGTATTATCACAGGATGTCTACACACTACACCGCTGGAGAAATTATACTGTTTAGCTGGTATTCCACCACCTGACAACTGTTGGGAAGTTGCAGCCAATAATGAAAGGACCAAGACAGGTTAAAACCTGAAACCTCAATCCATGGCTGATACCGGATGAGAAACTCCCTCCTGGGCACACAGAGACTGGGTAACTTGGAAGGCACTGAACAGACTGCACTCTGCCACCACAAGATGCAGAAATGGGGCTACAAAGTGGAGTCTGGGACGTGCAAGTGTGGAGAAGAGCAAACCACAGACCAGTTACTACAATGCAGCCTGAGCCCTGCCACATGCACAATGGAGGACATTCTCAGAGTGACACCAGAGGCAATCCAAGTGGCCAGCTTATGGTCAAAGGACATCTAGTATAATGTCAATTTTTTAACTTTGTGTTTTTTTAAAAAATACATTATAACTCTACCCTCAATTTGCTTCTGACACAACAAACAAGTGATTTATAACTCACAATATGGTATTTGGTGTATAGGCAACATCTTGCAGCACATTGGTCAAACTCAAGGCTCACATACCAAATCCAACTTGCCATGTAATTTTATGTGGCTCTCCCAATTCTGAACTACAACTCCTGTATTCCTCATCATTAGACATCTTGACTACAGTTTAAGGGAGCTGTGATACTGGAACGCTGCAGTTCCTTCTGTTTCATCAGGATAGTTGGGATTGGATTTAAATAAAAAGGATTTGATGTCTGAGTTTAAAATGTCCTTCAACGTTTAACTAACTCGGAGCCACAAGTGCTGTTGGGTTGCAATTCCCATTGTCCCTGGTCTGCATGGCAGATAATCAAAAGCAATGGGAATTATATTTTGCTCCCACCATGGATTTCTTTAGTCTCAACCCACTTAAGGAAATCTGTGTGCGAATTTTCTGGGTGGGAGGGAAATTCTTTCAATCCTTTTCTTCCCCTGCAGTGCTCAAGTGCCCCTACTTGTAGGCTATGCTGCTCTTGTGACTGACTCCAAAGAGAAAGTGGCTGTTGGGTCTAGCACAGCTTGTACCACAACCCTCATGTCTCACCTAGACTGAGGTAAAATTTGTATTAGAGTCCCAGATCAGGAACTGGAGAGGAATTGGAGAGGTTCTTATACAGAGACTCTTGCTACTATCCCCATTTTTGTAGCGTTCTCTCAGCAATGAATGCTTCTGTACTATACTTAAATCATTGAGTGCCTTTGAATAGTGGTTTTCAGAAAAATACAAATTCTTTTCCTATCAAGATGCAATGCTTTAGTGTATACTATTTTAAATACTGTTCATTCATTCATACCCACTGGTACAGGTCACGTTTAACCTGATCTGGCGTGGGGTGCACAAGGATTTCTTTAAATCTCTATATGTCATTTTAATTTTATTTGTAGATGAAGATGGACTTCATGGGCCAGCGCTGAATATTGATGGATCTGAATTCTGGTTTGTGCCCCATAAGCGCCTGAGTTACCAAGAGGCTTCTCTCTACTGTTCTGAGAATGACAGTGACTTAGCTTATGTGGCGTCCTTCACAGCGCTAATACAGATTTTAAACAGAATGGCAAATGTAATGTATGCTTTTTTAAAACCTCGTATAGCTTTCTTTGTATGAATACCTGTGACAAAATAGTTGGGACTTCTTCCATTATTAGTAGCATTAGTTAACATCCATTTAGAGAGAGAAAATGATGAGATGTGGGATAAATGTATGTGGGACTGGCTAATGGTGCTTTTTTGCATCCAGTGAAAGGAATTTTTATTTGTCTTCCCCTGTAATTTTCCTTTGGTGTGAGAAGATGGCAAAGTTAAGATCAGAGAGTAAACTTGTGCATTTGCATTCAGTAAAGAAAGACATATAATTTGGTCCTAAACATCACTTCATTTGTCTGTCCTAAGATTTACATTTATATAAACGCCATTCTCTTAAATTTTGTTAGATTACAGTAATACCAGAAAATATTTATTTAGATTTTTTTAAAAAAAAATTACATCTTCAGATGGAAAATTGTTTCTTTTCCTATTACACGTAAAAAATATTTCCCCATATTTATTCTGTAAGATGTAATGATGCAACTCCTTTTTGCTTTTGCAGTTAACAGATGAGAAACAGAATTGGTGGCTGAAATACATACCTCCTACGAGTCACTACCATTCCGTGTATGTAACTATTATCATTTATATAGATTCAGAGTCCTTTTGACATCCAGCATATAATAGTGTAATAGTAGTGTGTTCCATAATGTTAGGTAAATATATTTGAGCAATTAATATGTTTCCACAGTTCTCCCCAGTGAAATAAAATACAAGCAACTGTCAATTGATCTTCTTTTTCTATTCTCATATTTTACTGATTTAATCTGGTTTTTCATAATTTGATGCTACTTTACTATTTTACTGTCATTTTTCTGTGCGTATATTTAATTGATTTTTTCCATTATCATAAGCTGCCCCAGAAATCTTCATATTGAAGGACGGTGTACTAAATTTCTTAAAATAAATAAAAATCAACTGTTAATTCATGAGTATCTTTATGTGACCTGAAGCCCATTCTGCACTGTCATATAAAATCCAGATTATCTGATTTGAACTGGATTATCTAGCAGTGTAGACTCATATAATCCAGTTTAGATCAGATAATGTGGATTATCTTCTTTGATAATCTGGATTATATGGCAGTGTAGAAGGGGCCTGAGGCTATTATTTGGAGGGAAACCACCATCCTTTTGAACTCCTCCTTAGTATAGATATTCCAATAATATAAACCATTCGCCCAATAAGCATGCTGAGGAGTTGTTTTATTTCCGTCTGTCTTTCTTTGAAGATAATTAGGTATTTCTGTTTGTATGTTGTTGTGTACCTTCAAGTTGTTTCTGATTTATGGCGACCCTAAGAAGAGCCTATCATGGCATTTTCTGAGGTTGAGAAAAGTAGTACTTGGTTAGGGTCACTCAGTGGATCGCCACGATCAAGAAGGGATTCAAATCATGTCCTCTGGAGATGCAGCCCAACGCTCAAATTATTATATCACACTGGCACTTTATCATTTATGCATTTGCATTATCTTCAGGTTGTTGCTGATTGAGAACTTTGGGTTGAAGAGTGTTGAATAATAATTTCCTAGAATTAGTGAAGAGCACCATGAGCCATATAAAAAGACATTTTGCTAACTAAGACATAGTGCCCCAGAGTCACCACACCCATTCCACTCACAGAAGCAGGCTAGACTAGCTCTTAACTCTCAGTTTAGGCCAGGATAAAATCCTCCCAGGATTTCACCTACTTCCTCCCAACATTTTCCCACACTTATCCCCATTACCACTCCACCCTGCATCAGATTTTTAAATTGTTCCACTCTCCCTAATGGCAGGGTTGGCTCTGGGAATGTAGCTGGGATTTTGGGGGGACTGGGTGTTTTCAAATGTATTTTAATTGTATTCATTGTATTTAAACTGTATTATTAACCTAACACACACAATATTGTTTAATTGTTGTTTTGGTTTTTGTATTTGCTTTGTTTTAAATTGATAAAAGTGTGTGACAGTTAGCCACCTTGAATTTCCCCAGGGAGGAATAAATAAATTTAGTAAACAAATCATAAATAATACATTAGGGGTAATCCATATACTGAGCTGTTGAAGCATAACAGTTAATAATAATAATAATAATAATAATAATAATAATAATAATAAGCTTTATTTATACCCCGCCCCGTCACCCTGAAGGGACTCTGGGTGGCTTACAACACACAACAAATACAATAAACGAAATACAAAAATAAACACATATCAATTAATAAAAAATTAAATAACAGAATAATATAAATAGACAAACAATTTTAAAAACTAAGAAAACCCATAAAAACAAGATATGATGCCATTTAACCATCCATTTCTATGGTTTGAGTATCCAGATTAAAATTATAGTTATAAAGACCTTTAAAATCCTGTCCAATTGGTTGGTTTTTCATTTAGCAATTATCAAAAGCATTTATTATTGCATTTATTTTTTTGAAAAATAATATTAAGAATTCCCTTTCAAAAGAAACTTTTCATACACCTTTTTCTACTTTTTAAAATATGTGCACAAAAAACTATGTGCACAAATTTGAAAAAATTAATATTTGATTTATTTATTTTGCCTAGTTTTTCAATATTTGCACACTATCGTGAGAGATACTTCAGAGATTGTTGGCACATTTCCTCTCACAGCTGGTACAAAGGTAGGATTCTTCTTTTCTTAATATTACCTATGCTAAAATAAAGTTTTCTTTACAACCCTTCAAGTCTTTTAGGGCCCTTCCACACAGCCATATAACCCAGAATATGAAGGCAGATAGATCACACAGTATCTGCTTTGAACTGGGTTATCTGAGTCCACACTTCCATATAACCCGGTTCAAAGCAGATAATGTGGGATTTTATACAGCCATGTGGAAGAGTCCCAAGTCTGTAAGAAATGTGTTTGGTTTGATTTTTTTCAATTTCATACTCTCTTTCATGCCTTATTTCTAAATTTTTGAAGACCAAAAACTGTTTAGATGCCATACAACAAAAACTCACCTGCCAATGCTTGTTGGTAATGCCTAAGATGATCTAGCATTCAGAGATTATGCAGGCTTCAGATATAAATATAGTTCATGCAGCAGGCGCCACTAAACAACTGCCAAATCTTGTTTACAGTGTCCAGACCCACTCTATAAATATAATTTTTAGCATGTGCAGGCTTGCCTGAAAGATCATTTGGACTTTTAAAAAGATATATATATACAGGAAGGTTGCAGCCTGAGCAAAATATGTTTCTATGCAATTAAGGTTATTGGTCAATCCATAATGTGATTCTGTGTTTTTATATGTTTCAGAGATTCAGCAAGGGAAATATGTTATGGAAATAGCCTAATTCTGTTCAAAATGTTTAGTATGAAATAATCCATCTGACTGCATCAGATAGAATTCTAGGGTTTGATGACTACGACAATGATTTATCTTTAGGCACCTGCCAAAGAAGTACTAGGGCTCAGCTAGTTTTTGTCACCTCCCTTTTTGAGCCAGAAAAACTTTCTAGATATGACAAGCATCTTCTGGGTACAAAATAGTCATAGGGTACAAACACATAATAAAATTGCTTCCATGTGCCCTATTTTAGATATATATATTCCCAAAAGGTTTTTGGAAATTGAGAATTTAATAAATAATCCAGGAGGCTTTTTTTTCCATGTCAGGCATGAATTGAGAAACTGCAAGTTGCGTCTGGTGTGAGATAATTTTATGTCTGCAAGGACATTGCCCAGGGAATGCATGGCTGTTTTACCATCCTCTGGGAGGATTTTTTCACGTCCCTGCATGAGAAGCTGGAGCTGACAAACGGGAGCTCACCCCACTCCCCAGATTCAAACTGCCGACCTTTCGGTCGGCAGTCCTGCCAGCACAAGGGTTTAACCCAGGAGGCTATATGTTGCTCTTCGCCTGCTACTCCCATATGGTAGATCCATTTGTTTTAAACTGTCCCATTGAAATTAATTTCCCCAAGCTCCAAAATCAGCTTTGGCTCCTCCCTTCCCCATATCCCCCAAAATCCCCGTTTCAAGCTCTTCTGTTTACTACTTCTTGCAGAATCCCCATGAACCGTTACTTTCTTCCCATGGAGGTTTCTTCTGGCATAGCATAGGTCTTCTGTGATCCATTATCCTCGGATTATCCTTTGCTCAGTACTTCCCAAACTGGATCTCAGACAATGTGTTATTTAAGTTAATATAATGTTCTAAACATCATAACTGAATATATAAGAGCAAGTTAAGACCCCTTCCACGCAGCTGAATAAAAATCTCACATTATCTGCTTTGAACTGGAATATATGGCAGTGTGGACTCAGATAACCCAGTTCAAAGCAGATATTGTGGGATTTTCTGCCTTGATATTCTGGATTGTATGGCTGTGTGGAAGGGCCCTTGGAAAGAGATATTTTCCAGCCTCAACTTATAAGCTTGTTTAACTGGAGATGTTGTGGGTTGAACTTGGCTCTTTATATAAAGCTTGTGTTCTATTTCTTAGCTTGAGTCCTTCACTTAGTAAGTGTCTGCTAGATCTAGAATGTTTTTTTTTCTCCTTCAGTATAAGTAACAGGAATATTGTTCCATTTTTTCTATTTGTGAATCCTGCAGATAACATTATAAGCTGCAATACAAAACTTCCCTTCATCTGTGAAAAATACAATACGTCACTTCTGGAGACACACGATCCTAGTTATAAGCCACCTCAGAGAAAGTGTCCTGAAAAGTGGCATAGTTTTCTCAACAAGGTAAAAAAGAGGAATTTTGTCTTTTTTCTCTCTCTTTCAAACCATAATGTCTGTGTATGAGTTTCTAACCAATTTGATTGGAATTTGATCAAGTTCAGCTGCAGCAATTAAGACTTTTGTAAATTACTTTTATTTCCTTGTTTTTGTGGTGCTGTGTAAATGATGCTTTGTATTAAGGTATTATTTACACACTAGCACAACAGGTATCAGTGTGCCCTTCTAGGTGTGCAAACCATGCTTGAACTAGCTAGATTTACATACCTAAAATATATACTAAGAGCTTTAAGCATGGTTTAATTTTTCCCCCTTCTCTCAGTGTTTTCAGATAGTGCCTTCTCGAGATTTAAAATTTAAAGAGGCAAATGAATATTGCAATGCATTTGGAGGCCTGCTTCCTTCCATCAGAAATCAAGCTGAACAAGGTAAAATAATTATGTCTGTTTCTTACAAAACATGGCTCAGTTATAGAAGAATTGATATGCTTTGATACCTGAGATACAGTGCGTTTCTATCCATAAGACAGTTATGTCTAAAAAGTGTGCCACCAACACGAAGTGTTTGGCGAGCTCTGGTTTAGTGAGAAATGTCTCTCAGTGGCCTCTGTGCAGTTGTGTATGGCAAAGAAGACATGCATAAGCATGACAGTTTATGTTGAAAAGAAGTTTAATTAATCTGGAACCAAGAAAGGAAAAATTGAGAGTGACCTTGTCTGGCCTCACTTAGTCATGTAAATTATCAAACAGTTCTGGTGCCCACTAAAAATTCAGGTGAAGTATTGCAAACTGAGCAGCATTTTTACCATGGAAATAATTGAGGGGAAAGGGGTCGTGGTAGCACAGCAGTTAAAGCTACTAGCTGCAGGAAAGGCTGCTGACCCGAGGGTCAACAATTTGAAGATGCGAGTTGGGGTGAGCTCTCAACTGTCAGTCCTAGCTTTTGCCCTCCTAGCAGTTCAAAAGCATGCAATGCTTGGCAGGAAGATAAAAGGGCACCACATGCAGACATGCCAGCAAAAATATCAGAGATGTCTGCAGACAGCAGGCTCCTTCGGCGTGGCCAGAAGTTGAGCATTGCTTCCAGACAGCAGAGATGGAAAAGGGGAAGGCCTTTACCTTATCTGTGCATTGTATGTCATTGTTCGTGTAAAATTGCATTGAATGTTTGCCTAATATGTACTGGAGCCCCCGGTGGCACAGTGGGTTAAACCCCTGTGCCGGCAGGACTGAAGACCGACAGGTCGCAGGTTCAAATTCGGGGAGAGGCGGATGAGCTCCCTCTATCAGCTCCAGCTCCTCATGCGGGGGCATGAGAGAAGCCTCCCACAAAGATGATAAAAACATCAAATCATTTGGGCGTCCCCTGGGCAACGTCCTTGCAGATGGCCAATTCTCTCACACCAGAAGCAACTTGCAGTTTCTCACGTCGCTCCTGACACGACCAAAAAAAAAAAGTAATGTAAACCGCTCTGAGTCCCTCCAGGGAGATTAAATGGAATATAAATAAAGTGAATTATTATTTATTAGATGTTGAAGGAGAAAACAATTCAGGCAGATTCAGAATTGCTTCCATTTGTAGCTGAAGGACATGTGTGCTAATATTGTATTGAAAATGCTTAGTAAATCGTCTGCATGAGGATTTATGATTCATCAGTAAAACAAAATTGTAGTTGACTAATAATGAATTTATAGTAAATTAGTACACTTGTAATCTCATTTATTCTTGTTATTTTTAGTCAGGTCAACTTTTACTTACAGTAACCCTACAAATGAGAGATTCATTCAGGTCTTGCAAACTCAAGAGCTATGGCATTGTTGACTGAGTCAATCCACCTGACATTATGATCTATCTTTTTTCCTATTCTGTTCCATTTAACTGAACATTCTTGTCTTTTCCACTGAATCATGTCATCTCATTATCTGCCCAAAGTATGACAGGCTTGGTTAAGGCATTTTAGTGAGAGTTCAGGCTTGATTTGCTCTTGGACCCCTTTGTTTTGTTTTTTTTTTTTTTTGTATTTGCGTTCCAAATGAGGTGATTTTCTTTCCTTCCCTGTCCAGCTAACTCGCTAATCTAACCATTGTTGTTCTCCCTATACAAGGGAGACTGTCTGATCCTAATATGAAAGTATTTGTCTTCTGCTTTACAGATTTTATAACCTCCTTGCTTCCTGGCTTACCCCAAAATATTTGGATTGGTCTGCGCCTTCAGCTTCAGTCACGTGAAAATAAATGGGTAGATGGAAGCCCTCTAGAATATAGCAATTTCCACCCATTGCTTCAAGGCAGGCTAAGGAGGGTTAATCTAGATGTAAGTTGCTGAGATTCTTCTTTTTCTCTCTCCTTGTAAGCTTTTCCCTATGATTTGGTTATATATTTTAAAAAGTAACATCCATTCAGACTTTTTACATTTTTAATCGGTGGTTTCGTGCCTCTACAGAAGCAGAGTCAATCAGTGCCATTCAGATCGTTTTTCAACTAGTAGTTTATTTCTTCTAAAATTATGAGAATAAATATGATTTTTTTAAAAAACACAAAGTGAAACCTAAAAACATCTATTTAGAAATCTCGATGTAATGATGAAACAAAACAATAATTTGTTTATTTCCATTTCACACAACAGTGGCCAGAGTTGAATGTAACCATTGTTTGGATATTTAGCCCTATGTACATGAGCTTCAGACTTTCGCCCTTCTCTGCTTTGCCAGTGTCATAAGAAAATGAGACACTTTTGTTTCTACCTCTCACTCCAGAGATTTGTTCAGGGGAAGGTGTGAAATTGTCAATTGATAGGAGAACATAGTTGCATTAGTCAAATCATTTAATGTGTTATTTGTTTAGGGGATTCTTTAACTAGCAATATAACTATATCCGTGACAACAGTCCATCGTGACACATACTAGGATAGTTCATAGTCCACTGTGACACATCCTAGGATTATTGATCAACTTGTATCATCCCACCTTCTTTTTCCTGTTTAGTTTTTTGATGCGGAAGTGAACGCCCAATGTGGTGTTTTGCTTAACAATCTCAATTCTCATGTGGGAACCTGGAACTTCACTTCCTGTGCTGACATCAATTCTGTAGCCATCTGCCAACGAGAGGCAGGTAAGACTGAGCAACCCTAGTGAACATCCACATATTCACAAACCTAATAAATCTGTGCTGATCTTGGCAAATGGCCTGATCCTCTGACTACCTGCAGCCTCAATTCTAAGGGTGTGTCTATACTGTTGAAATGATGCAGTTGAACACCACTTTTATTACCATGTTGCAATGCTATGGAATTCTGGGAGTTGTATGTTTTTCAAGGTCTTTAGCTTTTTCTGGTGTCTTGCCAATCTAGAACTTCCAGGATCTCATAGAATTGAACCAGCAGCTGAAGTGCTCTCAAACTGCATTAATTCTACAGTGTAGATGCACCCTAAGACACAGCTCATGTACTTTTCATATCATCTAGGAAAAGTGCAGCCCTTCAAATCTTGTTGGGTAGTAACTCCCATCAGTCCCAATGTTATGAGGATTGTAGCAAACATCTGGAAAGCTGTGCTTTCCATTCCTGTTTTACATAGCACTTTTAAGTCTGCAAGCATCTGCATTTGAGCTACCTGAAATGTATCAACCGACCGGGTGGGGCAGTCATGTGTGTGTCCTCTTTGCAAATGACGTCTCTAAATCCTCGTATGAAAAGCATCCTTACAGTGATATAATAATACGTTCATAGTGCCTATGATCACTATTTCAGTACTTCTTCTGTTATTTATTTTAGTCAACTGCCCCAGTTCAATCATAAACATCTTCTGTGTGTACCAGATATGGTACTACATGCACTGATAGCAAAGCAAAATACTTTTAACATGTGTGGGCCAGAAATGATTGAATGGCTGTTCTCACAAATAGCTGTAAGCCAGATAAGGAAATGGCAGTTCATTATATGTATTGATTGTAATTGTTTTTTTATGCTTTATATGGTTTTGTATGAGAGCAGTTCTAGTACAATCCTATATTTTAGGCTGTGGTCATAAATGAATCTAAATTAATCTCCTATCTTCAATGCCAGTTTAGTCAGTGAGATTTACTTTTGAGTAGACATGTACCAGGCCCCATGGTGGCACAGTGGGTTAAACTGCTGAACTCGCTGACCGAAAGGTTAGCGGTTCAAATCTGGGGAGCAGAGTGAGCTCCCGCTGTTAGGCCCAGATTCTGCCAACCTAGCAGTTCGAAAACATGCAAGTGTGAGTAGATCAATAGGTACCACTTCTGCGGGAAGGTAGTGGTGCTCCATGCAGTCATGCCAGCCATATGACCTAGGAGGTGTCTATGGACAATGCCGGCTCTTAGAAATGGAGATGAGCACCAGGCTTAATGTGACTAGGCTTAATGTCAGGGGAAAATACCTTTTTAGACATGTGCACAGTTGTCCTGTAACCAATTAATTGTTGAGTCTACAAAAAATTCATGCTAAGTATTCAGAAATATACTTGCTGCCAATACACAAACACATGTGTTGCAGGGGGCACAACATTTCAGATTAGGTATGACTTTTTTCTCACAGTGCTTCCCAATGATATTTGCTATCTCATTCTTTTACATTTATTTGTATTAAAATGTGTTTATTTGCAGAAGATCTTTGCTGATTAATCAGTGGCATGCTTCCAATTGCTCAATATATTCTTAAGTAATAAATTGGCTAGACATTGCAGTCCTTTTTCTTGCCATATCCCTGAAAATGTGCATTGCTACTAAATATTGTTAAAGCCTGAACTTCATCCAAGAGTTAAAGGAACCATTGTTGCTGTTAAAAAAAATAAGTTATTTGACGAATGATAGCATTTGTCCTGTTCAACTGTTTTGGTTTCTTCATTAGAGGCTGCAGAAAACCAGACACAGCAAATGCTTAATGTCACCTGGAACTATCGAAATGTCACATACACCGCACTTCTGAAGAACTTGACGTGGTTTGATGCACAGCAGGAATGCCTCCAGAAGAATATGCAGCTGGTTAGCATTACAGAACAATTCCAGCAGGCTTTTCTTGCTAGTCAAGCTGCCCGCTATAATTACCCACTGTGGATTGGACTCTCCAGTAAAGATGTAAGATTCTTTCCCTTTCCAAACATGCCATGTGTGTATCTGATATGGTACTACATATGAGGATATGAGAAGTTTTAAATTGTTTCGGTTGCCCGGTGGTATCATTGTTGCTCCTTTTGCACAGTGGGCAAAAACCTAGTAGTTGGGAAATTAAGTGCATTAAGTCTTTTCTTAATCTCATGAGAGAACAGAGTGTGCCCATTTTTCTCAGGAAGCACTAAGATTAATGTGAGAAAAATAACTGAATATAATTAGCTAGAGATTTACAGATAAGTGGTTTGTTTCCAAAAAAAAAAACACCCTGAAGAATTAGTTATAGGTGGCAGCACATTGTTGGCGAGGAACAGAATATTACGTACAGATCAAAACTCTCAAAATGTGTCAAATCACTTACATTCAAAGCTTGTAAAATTGCATTTTACAACAAAAGAATTCACATATTTTTATTCCTGTAAGATTTGTTCAAATGTATTTGGCACCTTTTGGAAACAATCCCACATATCCAATCCCACAAACACCCAGGTTCTGTAATTTAGAGTCAGAAAGCTTTAATTTATATATTGGACTACTCTTCCCACAACTAGCCTGTATTGGCTATGAATGGCAGGAGTTGTATTCCAAATCATCTGTCCAGTTGTGGAAATATGAGCCAGAGATTCGCTGAAATGTGTATATATAATGTTATAGGCCTTTTAAATAGCAGCACGGATAATAGGGATCAGGATCATGCTTTCTAACAGGGGTGGGCAATTTCCAGACATGTTAGTAGCTGCAGTCACTGACACCAAGATTGTCCTTTGCCCTCAACACTGTGAAGTCAGTTGGAAACTAGGCAAGTGGGGTTTATATATCTGTGGAATGTCCAGGGTGAGAGAAAGAACTCTTTTCTGCTTGAGGCAATTGTGAATATTGCAGTTAGCCACCTTAAGTAGTATTGAATGACCTTTCAGCTTCAAAGCCTGGATAATTCCTGCCTGGGGGATCCTTTGTTGGGAGGTGTCAACTGGCCCTTTGAAGCTACAAGGCCATTAAATTCTAATCAAGGTGGCCAATTGTCAAGCAGACAGGAGTTCTTTCTCCCACACTGGACATTCCACAGATATATAAACCTCACTTGCCTAGTTTCCAACAGACCTCATTACCTCTGAGGGTGCCTGCCATAGATGTGGGTGAAATGTCAGGAGAGAATGCTTCTGGAACATGGCCATACAGCCTGGAAAACTCACAGCAACTCCGTGATTCCAGCCATGAAAGTCTTCAACAAAACATTGTTTCTAAGAGCTCTGCCATCACCTCCTCTCTTATTCAAGCAAGTATGACTTGCCCAATGTCACTTGGTGGGTTTCCATGGCCAAATAGGGATTAGACCCTCATCTCACAAACTTATAGTCCAGTGCTCAAACCAGTATTCCACATTGATTCTCACAGATATAATAGTTTATGTGTAAAATATCTTTACTTCTAGCTTTGGGTTTTTATTTTTACCTTGAGTGCTAACTTTATATCTTTTTTGTTGTTGTTTGACTAGGACGGAATACATTACCATTGGTTGGACAGAAAACATATTAGTTTCAGTCGCTGGTCTAATGACGATGCAGATTTGCTTGATAACTGTGTATATTTGGATACTGATGGATTCTGGAAAACGTCTGAATGTTACTCAGAAATGCCAGGCGCAGTTTGCTACTTGCCAGGAAGTAGGAATCTTCTGTATTCTAGCATTACTTACATGAATTTAAATGGCTGCTTTAGGAATGTTTTTGTTGAAATATTTTAGATACATAAAATATTTTGACATATAAGCAGTCCCTGCATTACAAACATCCAACTTACGAATGACTCATAGTTAAGAACAGGGGTGAGACAACAGGAAGTGAAAATTTCTTTTCATTTTATTTGAATGTGTATAATTGTGTTTTCACTGAAACTAAAATAATATTAGTGAAGGTTAGTCTTTTTTAATTATTTTATTTTACTTCTATTTGAATGTGTATAATTGTGTTTTTATTTAAACTAAAATAGTATTGGTGAAGGTTTGTTGGTTTTAATTATGGTATTTTTTAAATTTTAGTTGTGTTTTAATATGAATCATTGTGTTTTTACTGAAACTGTAAAAATATGTTGGAAAACACCAAACATCCAACCCTTGGAGAAAGGTTCAACATTTAAAAATCCCAATATATTGGAAATAGCTGTGTGCTGTGAAGACAAATAGCCTTCCATTCATGTTAAACCTGGAGTTTTTGGCTCGTGTAGTCAAGCCCTAGACTGGTTTAAAAAATTATCTCCCGTCTTTTGTCTATTTCAGCCCTAGTGATCTCCTAAATTTCCATTTACCATGCAAAAATCACATAGTCCCTAAAATGTTCTATTCTGAAGTTAATGAGGAAAAATCCATAATTCTCAGTGAATCAGAGTTTACTGTATTTTGAAAACACTTATGTCGTCCCTTAAAGAAATTTAACTTTTCTTCCCCAGATGAAACTGAAAAAACAGAATTATACCATGAATCTGTTCATTGTCCCCATAAGATAAAGAACACACCGTGGGTAGCATTTCGAAACAATTGCTATACATTTCTGATCACAAAAAATAGAATGAGTGGATTGAGATCAGGTGAAGGCCACCACTTATGCAGGATGATGAGTAAGTAATTCCTATTTAACTTTTTTTGTCTGTGTTGTTATCATTTTGAACGTTCCTAGATCTGAAAGCACTTTGCTTATTTTCTCCAGTGTCTAATTCCCACCCAGCTATACACTGACAAGATAAATATTTTCAAATATTATTGGGTTAGTAGAAGGGCTGAAGTGAGAGGAACAATTTTTGCTGCATTGAGTCATTGGAAGAAAGGCATGAAATAAATGTAACTGATAACGTAATATACATGAGCACATGGATGTGTGCAACAGTGTAAACCATCCATACATGGAAACAGAAGACAATAATTTCCATTATCAGAACTGGATTTTTGTAGAACCGAAGCCATGGGAATTGGGCAGTTGGGACTGGGAAATCACCTAGGTTGCATGAACATTTTTCCATGCATTATTATTTGGCCAAAATAATCAGTGACCAATGTTTGAGAAGGAATAGTTATCTGCAAAGCTGTGGAGATTAAGTTTTGCATATCATGAGCAAAGTACTTCTACAATGTGTGTGGTTCCCACCGGTCTTGTTTGCACTCTCTTGGCTGCAAATTTGAGAAACATCGCAACAAAAACGATCTGTTGCTCTCTGGGTTTATAATCTGCTAACATTAACATTTCCTTGCTGGGTTAAATTCAAGTGAGCATATCTTTTAAAAAAGGCTTTTTCTGTCCTTCTGTTGCAAGTACTGCACAGAAGAAGCATCCAAATTATAAACTACCATTGAAACACAATATACAATAACTGGAGGCGCCTTTGTGCGATAAGACAGAACATTAAAAATGTAAGGAGTCCTTCTGCATCTGGCAGAGGGTCCATTTAATTCAGCAACCTGCTCCCAGCAATAGCAATTAGATGCCTGTAGGCAAGCCAAACAAACCCCGAAGAGCCCCTGCAAATAGTATTTAAAGGTATATTGCCTTTGATGTGAAGTATCCATTTAGCTATCATAAAAGCTGTTGATAAATACCCCATTAATTAGTTTATAACCCCTTGAAAGCCATGCAAGCTAATTCTCAACTATCTGTTATCATATCTATGTTTGTATCTACATACACTCATATACCTACAGAGAGAGTTTGCAAATTTTATATTGGAATTGAGCATAGAAGTACTTTTCCATACATGTGGTTTGTTTCTATGTACTTCTAAAAACTGTGTCTGAAAATATAGACAAAAATTGCTGTGAGTTTTCCAGGCTGTATGGCCATGTTCCAGAAGCATTCTCTCCTGACGTTTTGACCACGTCTATGGCAGGCATCCTCAGAGGTTGTGAGGTCCGTCGGAAACTAGGCAAGTGGACAATTTCAACAGAAAGGAGGAAACCATGAAAAACTCTAAAATCAAGACAATAAATAAAGAACAATTCTCAGACGCATGGGGAAATCCAGACAGGAAACAGTCAGAGCCAGCTAATACCTCCCAACAAAGAATTTCCCCAGGCAGGAAGCAGCCAGTCTTTGAAGCTGCAAAGCTATTCAATAAAGCAACAATAGGAAAGATTACCAGACCAGAATTTGTGTTTGCCGTATATATGCTGTACTCTGCCCTGAGTCCCCTTCGGGGTGAGAAGGGCAGAATACAAATGTTTTAAATTAATAAATAATAAATAATGCTAATCAAGGTGGCCAATTGCAACAGTCACACTTGCTTCCAGAATCCAGCAGACAAGAGTTCTTTCTCCCACCCTGGATATTCTACAGATATATAAACTTCACTAACCTATGTATTGTCGAAGGCTTTCATGGCTGGAATCACTAGGTTCTTGTGGGTTTTTTTGGGCTATAGAGCCATGTTCTAGAGGCATTTCTCCTGACGTTTCGCCTGCATCTATGGCAAGCATCCTCAGAGGTAGTGAGGCCTGTTGGAATTAGGACAATGGGTTTATATATCTGTGGAATGGCTGGGGTGGGGCAAGGAGCTCTTCCCTGCTGCAGTTAGGTGTGAATGTTTAGCTGATCACCTTCATTAGCATTTGAAGGCCTGCCTGAGCCTGGGAAAATCTTTTGCTGGGAGGTGTTAATCTGTGCCTGGTTGTTTCCTCTCTGTTGTTTTGCTGTTGTAATTTTAGAGTTTTTTTTAATACTGGTAGCCAGATTTTGTTCTTTTTCATGGTTTCTTCCTTTCTGTTGAAATTGTCCACATGCTTGTGGATTTCAATGGCTTCTCTGTGTAGTCTGACATGGTGGTTGTAGGAGTGGTCCAGTCAAAAAAGATGCACCATTAAAGCCTTGGCAGACCGTGCAAAAAGAATCTGCGAACCCCACCTCCTCCAAGATGAACTGAACCACCTCAACTGGGCTCTCCAGGCCAATGGATACTCCACCTCAGACATCAGAAGAGCTGCAAGACCAAGAACAAACCACGAGAGTAAAGATGAAGATCCACCCAGAGGAAAAGTGTTCCTGCCATACATCAAGGGAACCACTGACCGCATAGGGAAGCTGATGAGGAAACACAACATACAAACAATCTACAAACCCACCAAGAAAATCCAACAAATGCTACGTTCAGCAAAGGACAAGAGGGATCCTCTCACCTCTGCAGGAGTCTACCGTATACCATGCAGCTGTGGACAAGTCTACATAGGGACCACCAAACGCAGCGCCCAGACACGCATCAAGGAACATGAAAGGCACTGCAGACTACTTCAACCAGAGAAGTCAGCCATAGCAGAGCACCTGATGAACCAGCCTGGACACAGCATATTATTTGAGAACACAGAAATGCTGGACCACACCAACAACCACCATGTCAGACTACACAGAGAAGCCATTGAAATCCACAAGCATGTGGACAATTTCAACAGAAAGGAAGAGACCATGAAAATGAACAAAATCTGGCTACCAGTATTAAAAAACTCTAAAATTATAACAGCTAAACAACAGAGAGGAAAAAACCAGGCACCTCCCAGCAACAGATTTTCCCAGGTTCAGGCAGGCCTTCAAATGCTAATGAAGGTGATCAGCTAAACATTCACACCTACTGCAGCAGGGAAGAGCTCCTTGCCCCACCCCAGCCATTCCACAGATATATAAACCCATTGTCCTAATTCCAACAGACCTCTACCTCTGAGGATGCTTGCCATAGATGCAGGCGAAACGTCAGGAGAAATTCCTCTAGAACATGGCTCTATAGCCCGAAAAAACCCGCAAGAACCTACTTCACTAACCTAGTTTCCAACAGACCCTACCACCTCTGAGGATGCCTGCCATAGATGTGGGCAAAATGTCAGGAGAAAATGCTTCTGGAACATGGCCATACAGCCTGGAAAACTCACAGCAACACAGTGATTCTGCCCATGAAAACCTTCGACAACACATACAATAAGATGCTTTAATCAATACTTGCCATTACAATACATGCTTAGTAATCTAATTCAAAGAGAGCACCTGATCTCTTCCGTTTAATAATGTCATTGCAGATTATTTTGTTGTAAAACCAAAGATGTGGCTAAAACATAGTATCCTGTTCTTCACATACAGCTTCCTATAAACCCCTGCTCAACTAATTCACGGATTTGTTTCAACAGATATAAATGCCTCTCTCCTGAATATCAGGGATGAAGGAGAAAATAATTTTGTTGTTGAGCAGCTGCATGCTTTCAGTGGCCTTGCTCAGTGGCTCTGGTTGGGCCTGCTTTATGAGGCAGATGGTAAGTTGAAAGTCCTGTGAAGTTTTGCTTTGGCTAACATGCCGTCCTTAAACTTAAAGCTAAAGCTACAAGGTAATATTACCGTATGTTACAGGCAGCTTACATTTGTTACAGGAATCAATACCACACTCATATTAAATAGTTCCAATTGTCAAATGCAAGATATTAGATACGATTCTTCAGATTCAGTTGGTTTGAAAAAATGTAGCACTTTAATTGACATGTCTCAATGTTATGGGATCACAAGTTTCAGATTTAGTCTTCTCTGTCAAAAGTTTTGGTGCCTCACCAAACTACAGGATTCTACAGCATTGAGCCATGACAATTAAAATGGTGACAAACTGCAGTCATTCTACAGTGTAGATGCAGCCTATATCACGTGATGATGATGAATATGATGATGATTATGATTATGTAAAGGTTGGGGGGATGTGAATATCTTTAATCCTGTGGTCCGTGGACCACCAGTGATCCGCAAATATGGTCTGCAGCCTCACCATTACTACACCGTTGCCTCGATATCATGCAGCAATGAGAGCGACTGGTCTCACAAAACCCACTTATAATGCCAAATCAATGGGGTGTCGGGAGGTGAGAGGCTGACTACCCACAAAAGATTACTACTACCAGCTCTAGATTATTAAATATGGTTTTATGTGGGCGAGCAGATAGTAACTACTGAATGGCATATATTCTGTATCAGAAACTAGAGCTGATGTAGTCTATCCAATGCCATTTTCTGAATCAGCGCCCCAAATAATCAAACTGCATCTAAAGTTGACCAAAAACTGATTCATAACTCTTTTGGTACTAATGTTGGAAAGTGGTCCCTGGTCAAGTGGTCCCTGGTCCAAAAAAGGTCAGGAACCACTGCTTGAATCTCATTTATTGTTACTTACCTGGGTTATTGTTGCAGTTAAGCCAACATTCACAGGATCAAAGCACAAGGATTTTGTTTTGTTCTGTTCTTAATAGTGGAAATCATCTGGCATCCTCTCAATTTCCTCTTGAGTTTAGAAACAATTCTCCAATAGTTGGGAGGAAGTTAGATTATCTCAGAAATAATATATTGCTGTGAGTTGTGCCTGTTGTCATGTAATATACTTCAAACTAAACTGGTCTTAAATGAGTACAGATAAGCCATTAGCTTTATCCAAGACCTGCTCCTGTTGGAGGTTGGACAAAAAGTAATTTTAAAACCCTAACACCCTTTAATTGTTGGTATGGATCAACATTGCTTCCCCACTGGGACTCTTTGGGGACATCGTTACAGAGACCAAACACAACCATCATGCTATAACTTTTTTTCATCTTCATTTTGCATTCCCAGTACTTTCAGTATGTAAACACACTTGGTTTTTGCTAATTGTTTGTTCAACAAAATCTACAGTACAGGAAGTCTGCACTGGGTGCAAGATAATAAAATAAAAACAAATATTTCTAACAAAGCCCTTCCCTGCTCTCCCAAATTGGACTAGTAGGCCAATTTATCTTTATTTCAAAGACATTTATTACCATATCATAACAAAAACTGCAGATGACATTGTTCAGAGCCAGCTAAGCTTGTTAGTGTCTCCCAAGATTCTGTTTGTTATAGATATTCAGGGCTTTTGTTTGTTTGCAGAGGCATTAACTTTGGGGTTTTCCATAATTTTAAAAGCAGTTATCTTAAATTTTATGATGTCGATGACTGCTGCATGTCCACTTAAAGGTAAGCCCTGCTGTGTTCAGTGGCTTTTAAATGGAAGTAAATCATAATTATTTTTGAATAAACAAAACAGGATATCACTGTTATTGTGAAATGTGTTGTGTCATCCAGAGGTGATTGTTCAGACCCCAGAACTGATTGAATTGCAAAGATCCACAGTCATAGTCTGTTTTAAGATCATATCCCTGCTGTCAATCTCTGATCTGAATCTGTGAATATTTGCTTGTATGTGTGCATTTTATGACTGTGTGTGTGTGTTCATGCTAATCTTGTTTCTTCTTACTCTAAATTTGAATTAGGAAAACCCTCAAGAAGATAAGGGTTTCTAAAATAATGATACTTTGAACAGACCATGCCACAATCCAATGGGAAGTCTGTGAATGTTTGTCTGTGTGCATATAGTTTATGACTTTGTGTTTGTTGGCATGTGCGGGTGTGTTTATCTGTTTTCTTCTGGTCTTAAATTTGAATTAGTGAAATTTCCAAGAAAATAATGTCTCAAAAATAATAACACTTTGAACAAACCATGCCACAAACCATGGGAATTCATTGGTTCACCTTTCCACTTCTATTATTCTCAAGTAATGTCCATAGTGGACAGATGTCTTCAGCAATTTCACCATTTTAGATACAACCAGTGGATCTCAGTATCCTAACTTGATGTATATTCCTCCTCAGACAACACTCTAAGGTGGTATGATGACTCACGCTTGTCGTACAATAACTGGAGACTTGGAAGGCCTTCCGTCAAGAGCAATAATTTTGTTGCTGGTGTCAGCTTGGATGGCTTCTGGGATATTTACAACAATACAGAAAACTGGGTACACCTGCAGTTCAGTTTACATAGTGTCCTTGTCTGTAAAATAGAAATGGGTAAGAACTATCTCTAATTTTGGATTGAATAGTATTTTACATACATCTAAATAGGTTCAAGAAAATATTCAAGAAAATATATAACATGTATTCATTGTTTTCCCCTTTACAAAGAACCCAAAGAGGACAAACCACCGCTGCCTACAGCACTGCCGTATAGAAACAATACGTATTGGGTTCTTCAAAAACAGCTCAGCTGGTATGATGCATGGAAAGAATGCAAAAGAAAAGGAAGTGAGTTAGCCAGCATACACAGTGAATCAGAGCAAGTATTTATGGAAGCTATTGCGAAGAATGATGGATTTCCTCTATGGATTGGTTTGTCCAGTCATAATGTAAGTTTTGATCTGTGCTTTTATAGTCATTATGTATATATGCATCTCTGTGTCGATGTCTTTATAGAAGTTATTTTCTCCCCACTCCCCACCCCTTTCCTATTCTTAAATTATGTATTGACTTTGGTGTTTAGGTCTAAATCAATCCAGCTAGAGTAGAACCACTGAAAAAATATGTAGTGTATGAAATCAATACTTATATAATATTTGCTTAGTCGACCTGTTGTAGTTGGGATCAACAATGTGAATGTATGGACTTCTTCTTAATTGCTGTAAAGTTGACTTTGATTTATGATGACCTTATAAATGAGAATCCTCCAGGACACGTTGGCCTCAACAGCCCTGTCTTGCAAACTCAGAGCTATGGGTTTCTTAATCTACCTGTAATGCAGACTTCCTTTTTACCCCCACGTTGTTATGCATTATAGGCAGTCTCCTAGTTACAGCCAGCCAACTTACATACGACTCATAGTTAAGAATGGAGGTGAGACAACAGTATACTGGACAGCCTGTGTCTGTATGATTTAGATTTATTTATTATTTAAAATATTTATACCCGTGGGGAGACTCAGAACGGCTTCCAAACAGGCAACAATTTGATGCCAAAGATAATCTAAAACGCATAATAAATACATCCGTAAAATTAAAATAATTCTAAGTATACATTAAGAACCCGCTCGCCAGATTAAAATCATCAGAATTAAAATCGTCATCCAAAGATGAGCTAGATAGGCAGTTTACTGAAGCTGCTTGCATCTTCCAAGTATAAAAATAGAATTCACTAATACATGTTAATGTTTCCCTCCATAATCATCAGAAAGGCTACAATGGAGAGCCTTCTAGGTAGCTGCTCCCACCCTCTGCAGTTTCCTTTCCTCCTTGGTTTCCTTTTCCCAGCAGGGAAAGGTGTTCTTATTTAAACAGACTATTAATGTATAAGCAGGGAGCGCTTTTTGTTGTGAATATTTTATTTATCATTTTAAAATCATGCTTTTTGACTATGTGTCTACGGGAGCTGTCTTGGGTCCCATTTTTGGAGAAAAGTGGCATACAAATGACATAAGTAAATACTGACTACAGTTTAGGCATTGGGTTGAAGATCTTACTGACTACAGTCTCACACTAGCTATTTCTTCCTTTTAAAGAAATAATCTTTAATTTTGTCACTAAGGGCTTTGTCCTTAAACCAATGCTTGTTCATTTGACTATGGTGCATGTCAGGAAACTAGATGTTTTACTGTATTCAGTCAAAGCACTTACATGAAAATGAGCTTTAATATCTGTATCCCCATTGGAATAGTTCTAAGCCATGTGCCCTAACATTTGCGGAAAGCAAATCCCTGAATTGTATTGCCTTTCCCTTTTTCCCCAGGGAAGTGATTCTGATTTTGAGTGGTCTGATGGAAGTGCATTTGATTACAAGCCCTGGGAGTATGAGCATTCACTTCCTCCTGGAAACTGTTTCCTCTTAGACACTAAAGGAATGTGGAATCGTATGAAATGCACAAATCAAGTTGATGGTGCTATTTGCTACTCCTCACCTAACAGTGAGTTTGTATTTATGCGGTGTATTATGTGGCTTGTGGTACTATAAACCAAGAGTAATTTTGATATCAGATCTCTCCCCCCCCCCCCCCTCTCTATTCATGTTAAACATGTCCCTTGAGAACAGTGGTGGCTAAAGTTGTGCTTGTGGGCATGATGCAGATCCCTGGGACCGCAACCAGAAGTGACATCACATCCTATAGGGCACCTTTAGATTTGCTGATGTGATCTGGAATCATAAAGTTGGAAGAGACCTCGTGAGCCATCCAGTCCAACCCTCTGCCAAGAAACAGGAAAATCGCATTCAAAGCACCCCCTGGCCATGCAGCCTCTGTTTAATAATAATAATAATAATAATAATAATAATAATAATACTTTATTTATACCCCACCACCATCTCCCCAAGGGGACTCGGGGCGGCTTACATGAGGTCACGCCCATCAATGCAGTAATCACAGAATAACACAAAAACACAACAGAAAATCAGAAAATAAAGTAACCTAAAGTAACAAAACCAATGTAAATAAGCAACCCAACAATAAATTTCAAAACATTAAGACACTAAAACTATCAGTGTGGGCAAATTCAAAGATTAAAAATTTTAAAACACTGGGAGATAGGGCAATGTAAAATATCAGGGAGGGAATCTGGGAGATGAGGATGGATTTAATTGCACAACCGGAAAATAAAGTGCTTCTGAGGGCATTGTATGTAGTGTTTGGTCAGGGATTATCTTACATTCAACTATTGAAGGCACATTGGAACAGCCAAGTTTTCAGGCTCCTCCTGAAGATTGCCAGGGTGGGGACTTGCCTAATATCTCTGGGGAGCGAATTCTAGAGTCGGGCCACCACAGAGAAGGCTGTCTCTCTCATCCCCACAGGTCACGCTTGCGATGAGGGCGGGAGCGAGAGAAGGGCCTCTAAGGAAGATTGAAGAGGTCGCATGGGTTCATGCGGTCGCGCAGGACCCAAACCATTCAGGGCTTTGTAGGTCAAAACCTACACCTGGAATTGGGACCGGAAAATAAATGGCAGCCAGTGGAGCTCCTTAAACAGGAGGGTTGACCGCTCCCTGTAAGTCGCTCCAGTTAGTAATCTGGCTGCTTCCCGTTGGACCAGTTGGAATTTCCGGGCCGTCTTCCAAGGGCAGCCCCACGTAGAGCGCATTGCCTTCAAAGAAGGAGCCTCCACCACACTCCGGGGCAGAGAGTTCCACTGCTGAATAGCTCTCACAGTCAGGAAGTTCTTCCTAATGTTCAGGTGGAATCTCCTTCCCTGTAGTTTTCCTCCTTTCCTGTACTTTCCTGTCAGAGAGGTGCTGGGAAGTGAAATTCCCCCCCCCCCCCCCACACACACACACACACAGCATGTGCAGTTGCTGACCCCTGTTTAGAAGGAAGCTGTGCTGGTTTCATATCTTCCGAGTAACATGTTTGGAATAAATACAATATCGATGGAAAGGTAATACCACCAAAATTAGTGCAATTTTATTGAGAAGTACCCATATTTTCCAATACAGGAAAATATGTGTATAAGTAGTTAGTTTGTATATTGGCAGTATCCATAAGACTTCACCGCCTCTGCCAATAATTTTTGTCAGACAGTACAAACATATATTTCAATACAGTATAACAATTACTACATGCTGTGTATGTATGTGTGTGTGTGTGTGTGTGTGTGTGTGTGTGTATTTCTTCGTCCTATCAGGCTAATACTGATCTGGATAGCTACAAAACAACCACCTCCACCATCCCCCAAATTAAAGTCACCTTCCACTGTCCTTATATCCCAAGATCTGATCCCAGGTTATCTGCTTTGAACTGGATTTATATGAGTTTCCAGTGCCACATAATCCCAGATAAGCAGATAATTTAGGATCAGATCCTGGGATATAGGGCAGTGTAGAAGGAGCCTAGGAGTGATAGGAGAATGCCTGTACTTGAGATGCTTGAATACAAAAAAAAGAAAGAAAGATTGGATACCTGGTGGAAACTTGGAACACCCCACTGCCATGTTTGCTTTCCAAGCAGCTGATGGTCACTGTCAGCTCTCTTGGAGAGAGAGAGGGAGGGAGAGGGAAGGGAGAAGGAGTAGCTAAGCAGAGACTGGCACGCACTTCTTTCTCCCTCTCTTCCACCAGAAAAACAGCACAGTTGCAGCTGATCTATTCACTGTTGCCATTATGATGTTGGAGCAATGAATATGTCCATAGAATAAATATCCCACTTATACAGAAAATAGAAAATAATAGAATTCAGCGTATAATTGTATAAATTTGTTATACTGTTCAATTTCACCGTAATCACAAACAATATTATATGAGTTTTTGTGCAGTCACTCTGAAATGATATCAGCGCCGTGTCTTCTTATGTCGAGTTGAGTATGAATCAGCCATTCACGATTGGTTTCGGCCTTACTCCAGGCTTTCCTCTGGTTGTCTAAAATTATTATGTACATCAAAATTTGCTGCATATATATATAGAACATCATACCCTGAAATACATTTAAAGGTACTTACAAAGTTATAAACTTGACACTTGTTCTCCTTAGAGATTAGATCCTACTAAGTAAAAAGGCTGTATCTTTAAGGAAAACAAGTGTCAAGTTTATAACTTTGTAAGTAACATTTCAGAGTGACTGTACAAAAACTCATATAATATAGTTTGTGATTACTGTGAAATTGAACAGTATAACAAGTTTATACAATTATACGCTGAATTCTATTATTTTCTATTTTCTGTGTGGGATATTTGTTGAGCTTACTAATTCAGGAACCCATTCATATTGTATGTCCATAGAATGGCAGGATGAACAGGACATGGGATCAGGATGAACAGGCTTGAATGGTTAAGTTAAATGGTTAAGATTCTGCAAATCAGCAGGACTTACATATGTTGATGATGATGATACAACTTTATTTGTATTTCGCCTTATCTCCCCAAGGGGATTCCAACATACAATGGCAAACATTCAATGCCTCCATAAGACAGACAAATACTGACATAAAATCCCAGGAAAACTCTATATATGAAAACTGCAATTAACATATAGTCAGACCTTCGTTTCCACAGATTCTGCATCCATGAATTCTACAGCTTGAAAATATTTTGCCGTTTTATATAAGGGACACCACTTTATTATGCCACTGTATATAATGGGACTTGCTCATTCATATATTTTGGTATCCTTGGGGGTCTGGAACCAAACCACAGTGGATACCATGACCCCTGGAAAGTATCACTGTGTTTACACAGAAGCCATTTCAGCTCAGCTATTTTCATCCTATTTGTCTTCTTCAAGTGTGCCAAACCAGAGAGGAGAAAGAAAGCCCCGTAGTATCGATGCAGTAGAGCAGTGGTTCTCAACCTTTAAGGTGTTTGAACTTCAGCTCCCACCATTCCTAACAGCTGTTAAACTGGCTGGGATTACTGGGAGTTGAAGTCCAAAACAACTGGAGGGCCAAAGGTTGCATTATCTGAATGCAGAATGCAGAATTGACTCTAGGAATCAACCATCATTTCTTTGCATGTGTGACAATTATAATATTTGTATTTTTACAGAAATAGAGTCAAAGCAAGCAGAAAGTTCTACAAAATGTCCAAAGACTACTGGGGGATTATCACAATGGATACCATATAAAGACCATTGCTATGCATTTGATATGGGATTTTACAATTTCTCAACGTATACCTCAGATGCTGCGAAAGATGTCTGCAAGAAACTTGGTATGTCCAAATATATATATATATCATGTCATTTTTTTCAAAAGCAGTCATGACATTTGGAATATTTTGATGTGGCATTAATGTTTTCAGTATTAATTGAAATGCTGTTTTAAAGTATTGCCATAAATGGTTTTTATGAAGGTGAAATAAGTTACTTTCTTGAAAAGTTTTCATCTTCTTCCCATTCACTATCTCCCATTAGATCCTTCTGCAGCACTTTTGACTATCAATGATGCAGATGAAAATAAGTTTGTGATGACATACTTAAGGAAACATTACTTCATTACTGGAAGGGTATGGCTTGGAATGCAGTCTAATGGTAAGGAGTGAGTAAGTATAATATATATATATAACATATAATTATGAACATGCTACAGATTAAAGTCTAGGCATATTTTGAGCTCACTGAAATGAGAGAGGTTTAACTACATTCTTTAGTTCCTTTGAACTTAATGATACATCACTTTGGATTGTATTCTTAGAATTAACCGTGCATAGTAAAACAAAAAATGATTCAATATAGAATATAGATAGCATGAATTTAACAACACCTTTCTCATGGTTAAAATAAGGAACAGAGAATGACACATGGAGTCATATCTAGAACTTGGTTGTTTCAAATCAGGACTCAGAAAATAATTCTTATCAGTTCTGCACCTCATAAAAGGGACAAATTATCAATAATATAAGAGTGAATCAAAATATCCACATTCAATCTGTAGAATTTATTTTAATCAACTTTCAGAAAAGACAAATACACAATGCCCTGTTTTTAATACACTTTATCCATCGTGAACAAGCTTCATCGTTCCCTTACTTTAAAAGTTTTAGACTGAGCTGCAAGACACGGTTGCATCTTTGTCTTCACCTCTTCATCAGACATGAATCTTCATCCTGACTTTTTTCATGGTGATAGTCCAATGGCATTGATTTTTGTGTGTGTGTGTCAGGAACAAGTTGAGAAACTGTAAGTCACTTCTAGTGTTATAGAATTGGCTGTCTGCAAGGACATTGCCCAGGGGATACCCGGATATTTTATCATCTTGTGGGGGGCTTTGAATGTTTGCCATATATGTACTCAGTAATCCACTCTGGGTCCCCTTAGGGCAGTGGTTCTCAACCTGGGGGTCGCGACCGCCAGAGGGGTCACCTGGCAACTTTTGAGGGGTCGCGGGACTGCCTCGTTTGGCCCCGCCCCTTTGTGTCCCTGGAATGCCTGCCGGGCAACCTCTGGCAGCCAAAGAGCCAGCCAGCACCCGCACCTGAAAGAGAAGGACGTCCCTTAGTCTGCAAGTGGTTGAGAGCCACTGCCTTAGAGAGATAGAGCGGAATATAAATAAAGTATATTATTATTATTTATGTGCAGTGATGTGCTGACTTGCATTGTCATGCAACAACACAATGCCCTTGGATATCAATGCTTTGCATTTTGTCTGAATTTTAGGCATCAGCTCTTCAGTGATGGGTACTGTTGATTGTTGAACCTTTTTCTGATAATGTTCAAACATTTCCCTTCTTTTGGGCAAATGGTAAAGGGAGGAGCCATTTATTCTTTCTCCAGAGTTGCAAATAAACTGTTGTAATACTTTTGAAATTGCAAAGCACTGTCAGGGAAGACAGCAACATTGTACACTGATATGATAGTATGGCCAACAGAAGTTTTAATAGAATCAGAGTGTGGATGATTTTTGACTCTCCCTCGTACAAATGGAGCAATGTTAGTTCCACTTGCATCATTACTATGCCACAATTTGATTTTTTTTTCTTTTTAAAGCATATAGAATAATTGATGAATTCTGTATAACCATTACATCCTATGTGGCACAATTGTACTGTAACTGTGGTATTGTGTAGCAAATTCTGGCCAGTCCCTTATTTTAGAAGTGGCTGCCAGACATCCCACTCTTGAGTTGCTGTGCGTTTTTATTGGCTATATGGCCATGTTCCAGAAGCATTTTCTCCTGACATTTCTCCAACATTTGTGACAGGCATCCTCAGAGGTTGAAGGTCTGTTGGAAACTAGGCAGGTGAGGTTTATATATCTGTGGAATGTCCAGGCTGGGAGAAAGGACTCTTGTCTGTTTGAGGCAGGTGTGGATGTTGCAGTTGGCCACCTTGATTAGCATTGAATAGCCTTGCACCTTCAAAGCCTGGCTTCTTCCTGGGGGGAATATTTTCTTTGAGGTGTTAGCTAGCCCTCATTGTTTCCTGTCTGGCATTCCCCTGTTTTCTGAGTGCTTTGGGTAGATTCTCCTGTGGGTAATCTGTGGCAATAGGCAGAAACAAGACTTGTAACAAATTTTCCATGCAACAGAAATTGCTTACTTGAGAGGAAGTGGAAACATCAGGCAGCTACTACGTGATTGGCAAAAGAGAGGACTCCAATAGCTGCTTGTAGTCCTTTCATTCTTACCTAAACTAGATGCTACATAAGGATTAAGAATCTGTAGCCATTACTAACACATAACTATTTTCTTGACAACCCATCAGGATTATGGCCAGTGTTTTAATGTTCTGTGGAATAATCAACATAGCAATGAGTGCTTTCATGTTTATGTTCTTTGGTCTGATTCTTTCCTGGTTTTCTGACTAGGTGCTGACTTTTGCACACACTTTTATCAAACTTCTGTAGTTACAGGGAAACCATTCAGGTTTTTTTTTTACTGGTACTCACTTTCTAAACCTGACAAATGGATAATAAATTCAAAGAACTTGATAAAGCTATCTTCTGAATATTACTTTATTTCTGATGAATTATGAAGGTCTTATTCTTTTTTACAGCTAAGTCCTTGAAGTGGCTGGATGGCTCAGAGGTTACATATGTCAACTGGGCCAAGGGAAAGGAAAATGCCAATGGTGAATGTAGTGTAATCTTTTCAGCAAATGGGACATGGTCCAGGATAGACTGCAAGGATGTCCAGAGCAGAGTTGTGTGCAAGGTTCCTCAAGGTATGTATGTTTTCAATCTTTTCAAGACTATCCCAGAATAGAAAGGTTGCTTCTTCAAGTAAAACTTCCAGAAACCTGCCAGCAACTTCCAAACGCTAAAGAGTTTATTGCCATGGAGTGCTGTTGATGTTGATCATTTGTTGATTACTTAAATAAATCACTTACCCCAAAACTGGTGGTAATGGCAGCTCACAAAAATTATAACAAATGAAGTTAAAGACATCAAAATGAGCCAGTGTGATGTATTGTCGAAGGCTTTCATGGCGGGTATCACTGGGTTGTTGTAGATTTTTCAGGTTGTATGGCCATGTTCTAGAAGCATTGTCTCCTGACGTTTCGCCTGCATCTGTGGCAAGCATTCTCAGATGTTTTGAGGCACCTCACAACCTCTGAGGATGCTTGCCACAGATGCAGGCGAAACATCAGGAGATAATGCTTCTAGAACATGGCTATACAACCCGAAAAACCTACAACAACCCACTGAGCCAGTGTGGTTCAGAGGTCTGGATGTTGGACTGGGACTACAGCAGAATGCTGTTCAAATCCCCACTGAGGTATAGAAACTCAAAGCTGCACTCTCTCTACCTTGCAAGAAAGCAGTGGCAAACCTCTAAAAAAAATTGCCAAGAAAGCAAAAGGATAGGAATCATTTGAGGGTACATAGCAACAGCAGATACACTGTTAAAATACAATTAAACTATCCATAGGATTTAAACAAACCTAAGAATCTGTGGGCTAATCAATAAAATTACCACTACTACTACTACCACCACCACCACCACTACTACTAGTTAGTTCTTTTAAAACAGTTGGAATGGAAAAACAACAATTGTGGACCCATCCAACTCTTGTAGGATGGGAATTCCAAAACCTGGAAGCAGTCACTGAGGAGGCTTTCTTATGTGTTCTCACACGATGTCTCTGTGAACTGGTTGGGGGAAGAGGCTGCCACAAAACTCTGAGAATTAGGTGGGCACAGTAGAAGATCCACTAAGCAATATAGAAAAGTGGCTACAGAAAAAAAGAGGAATTTGGCGTGATGTCAGATTTTAAGATAAATAGAGAGAAATCAAGGTTGTTAACCAAAAAATATCCAAATCAAGACAAGATTTAATGGAACTATAAATAGTGAACCAACAGGTCACACATTTGAATCCAGGGAGAGTGTAGATGAGCTCCCTCTGTCAGCTCCAGCTCCCCATGCAGGGGCATGAGAGAAGCCTCCCACAAGAATGGTAAAAACATCAAAACATCCGGGCATCCCCTGGGCAACGTCCTTGCAGATGCCAATTTTCACACCAGAAGCAACCTGCAGTTTCTTAAGTCACTCCTGACACGATAAAAGAAAAAAAAAAGGAAGATGAAGACTTCCTGATGACCTGGAACCAATCAATGTAGGGCTCTGAACTGTGCTTGGGAAAAGAGAGTCAGCCAAGTAGCGTGATCCCTCTCTGCCCAAGAGCCAGCTGCACAGAGGGAAGAAATCAACACACAATTCATGCAACCTTCTTCTGCACTGCCTCTGTCTCTCCCAGCGGGCTTTTAGCTCTACAGGCCCAGCTGTGCAGACCATGTGCTGCTGTCTTCATCAGGGAGAATCGTATATAAAGAACACAAGCAGCACAGCCCCTTCCCTTGCAAGTAATGGCTTAGACACTACAGCTGACCAACAACTGCATAGTATGGAGTTCTGGGGTGACCTGTATCTCCACAAGAAGCAAGCGTATGGCATCATTGTCCACCCTTTTGATTTTTTGTATAGTAGAGTACAGTCTCGCTTATCCAACATAAACAGGCCGGCAGAACGTTGGATAAGTGAAAATGTTGGATAATAAGGAGGGATTAAGGGAAAGCCTATTAAACATCAAATTGCATTACGATTTTACAAATTAAGCACACACAAAATCATGTTTTACAACAAATCAACAGAAAAAGCAGCTCAAGACACATAATGTTATGAAGTAATTACTGTAATTACGAATTTAGTACCAAAACATTGCAATGCATTGAAATAGCTGTGGATCCAGGCGGGAGGCAGACTACATTAGATAATACAGAATGTTGGATGAGCGAAGGTTGGATAAGCGAGACTCTACTGTAATTTCACCCTGACAGTCATAATGCATAAATATATTACTTAATTTATGACTTTAGTGAAGTGCTCAAAATATTAGTTTCTAACGAGTTGGTGCTTTTGCATGGACATTGTAACAAAATGTAAATTGCTTATGTAACTAGTTACCCTAACTTTTTTTAAATGGGCTAAGAAGAAAAATATTTTTATAATTTGTAGACCAATTCAGGCTTTATTTAGAGCAGTGGTTCCCAACCTTTGGTCCTCCGGGTGTTTTGATCTTCAACTCCCACAATTCCTAAACTGTGGTAAACTTGCTGGGATTTCTGGGAATTGAAGTCCAAAACACCTGGAGGACCAAAGGTTGAGATCCACTTATTTAGAAGGAATACTAGGTATCCATATAGGAGTTACAAGGCACATGAAGCATTAATCCAACTTTTGGGTACCTATTTTGTATGCATTTGGAATTCAGGACCTAATTTCAATGCAATTCAAGGTACATAGGCAAGGTTTATTTAAAAATATCAAAGGCCTTATGAATGAATGCCTTTGTATTAGGCAACCATGCCTGAGGGCAGGGAAGACAGAGACTATAATCCAGTAATTGCTAATGAGTACCTTCTTGCAATGCAGAAGGTCAGAGGTTCAACACATAGTTTGGTTTTTAAAAAAAGAATCCAAAAGCAGGTGATGAGAAAGATGTCTATCAAGATGTGGAGAGCCACTGTTACCAGTCAGAGTAGATCATTGCACAGATAAAATACCAAATCGGACCTAGAATAAGCCAGCTTTCTAGATTCCTGCAGGTACTCAGGGCCTAACAGAGGGAGCACTTGTAACTTTCTTATCGAAAAGACTGAAAAAATGAGGAGATCTAAGGGTCCTTTCATTAGTCAGTGTCATTTAGTGTTATCTCCAGAGTCACAAGGATTGTATGCTGTTGTGTGAACAGACAGCCCCAAGGTCCATATCCTTAGGTTTCAGTGATCATAGATTGCCGTGCCCCATATTAGTAAATAGTGTCATGAATGTCGACATGCTGGAGGCTGCACGTTCATATCACTGCCAGTTAATAATATGGGCTTGGTTGCATTTTATTGTATCTGCAGTGGATTCCAGAACTGAATCTCAATGGATGCAGCAGGCTTAGTGTATGTTGCGAGTAACCTGTAGTTCCTTTTTTCTAACCAATTACTCAAGTGATACTAGAAGGAACCAGTGTCTGATCTGCAGAGCTCTTCCGTTAAATCTTATAACATCTTATCATTTCAATGTGCCAACTGCTTGAATAGGATAGCGTGAAAAACCTTTCGAGCATGTTAAGGGACAGTAGTAAAATCATTTCCCCACAAATAGGCACATAAAAGATCACATCATTTGTGGTCTCCCTTCATGTTAGCAGTATAGTAAGGAATTAAATGGCATATGAACAGTTTTACCACCTAAGCACAGATTCAAATAAAAATGGACTGTTCATCATCTTTGCTTCACTGGAAATTTTGGATTGTAACATAATCCAGGCAAGGATATGACCTCTTGTATTCCATGCTAGGCTTAACAATAACCACACTTGGGAATGTTATTAATAATCAAGAGTATTTCTCAGTGTTTGATGGAGCCCTCCTCATATAAATATACCAGCCTCAGCATTGCAGAGACCCTTCTACCACTAGAAGTGCAGTACAATATAGGAGACAAAGAAGACACCTTCTTTGCAGTGGAGCTTCATTTGTGGGACTCAACTGGTGCCAGGAGTGGCTTTGTTTTGGGACTAAATTAGAACTAGGCATTTAAAAAAATCTTCGTTTTCTAGGTTTTCTTAACAATAGCTGCTCATCTGAGGCCAGGAAAATGCGACTTGTCCAGTTCACACAGTGGGTTTCCATGCCTTAGTAGGGCTCTGAACCATTGCCTCTCAAGAGTCTTAGTCCAACACTCGAAACTACTACATATAGTTTATCTAACTGAACATAAGAAATGTTACAGGAGAAATGCACCTTTCCCAGGTGGCTAGTAACAGTTTATTGTTTTGTCAACATTGACAGAGATGAAAAGGAAGAGTCACTTTTCCTATATGTAGCAAATAAACAAAAAACACAAACTCTTTTCAAAGAAATAAGGTTTGTAAACAAGTACATTATGTACGACCGGGTATGAATTAGTCTTGTAAAACTCAGTGTAATATATGATTGTCAGATAGGCTACTCTACATAAATTGTGATCCCAACCCCAAATTGGGTTGAGGTCATGAAATATTTGGCAACAGTAAAAGGTTTCTGAATGCCATCCATTTACACCAGTGGTTCCGAACCTGTGGTCCGTGGACCACCAGTAGTCCACAAGAACTAAAATATAGTCCCCAGCCTCACTGTTACTTCACCGTTGCAACGAGAGCAACTGGTATTGTGAAACCCTCTTATAATGCCGAAGCTTATTAAATACGGTTTTCTGTGGGCAAGCAGATGGCAACTACTGGATGGCATATGTTCTGTATCAGAAACTAGAGCTGATGTGGTCTATCCAATGCGATTTTCTGAATCGGCATCCCAAATAACCAAACCAAATCTAAAGCTGACCAAAAACTAATTTGTAACCCTTTTGGTACTAATGTTGGAGAGTGGTCCCTGGTCAAAGTGGTCCCTGGTCAAAAAAAAGGTTGGGAACCACTAATTTACATAAATCTGTTAGCAACAACATGCAGAAAATGCTTCAGCTGTATCCCACAAAAAAAGGAAAATCAGCCTGTTTAACATGACTTGCAAATGTTGATTTATTTTCAGTAAACAAAAATGATTTTTATACCTATTTTATATACCTATATATTTGCTATAGTGGAAAAGGGGTCACGAGTGGAAAAACTTTAAGCTCTAAATTAATAGTTGTGTTTTCTCTTGACAGTTTCTAATCATACAGGAGGAGCTATAGCAGTTGCTGTTTTAATTATTATGGTTCTCCTTGCTGGATTATTATACTACCTTTATAAAAAGAAACGACTACAGTGGGGCGGATTCTCTTCCGTACGCTATGAACGAGGGATCCACGAAGAGGAAACGGACAGCATGTTTGCCAGGGATGGTGATTGAAGAACGACGTCTGCTTGGCTGCTTTTAAACAAGATCTAGAATGGGCTATGCTAACATCTTCTTACAGGGTTTGCTTTGGCATATCTGTGTGAAATCTATTAAGTAGCAGCAGGTAAATTTTGGCCTCTGAGTATTGCTACAATTTTTGTTCCTTATCATGCATTCATTGAAAGCAACCCTTTGCCCAACATTAGGAGAATAATATGTCTCGTCAACAGCTATGTAAACTCCAGTTGAACTTTGCACTTTTTGTGGTCTTTTAAGATTTGCACACGCATGCTGTGATCCTGACTTTGGTATTGGGACGTACGGCATATGCTCATATGAAGTACAGATGCCTGTGAATACAGTTTTGAAATGTAACTTATTGAACATAAACTATATAATGTGGTAGTTTGAAATACCAACCATGCTCCATTTGGCTTAAGATCTATTGGATACAGAGTTTTATTTTTAATACTTTGTGTTGAAATTGGGGCTTCTTTGGCCCAAGATTTCTTCCAACTTATTGAAATATATATATATATATATATATATATATATATATATATATATATATATATAAGTTTCTCAAGAAAAAGAATCATGCAATTTACCAGACTACATTTTGACAGGGTTTAACTTGAATAAGCCATATATGCCATTCCTCATAGATAGATATGGAATGAGCAAAATCACAAGCTAAACAAAAACTTCACTCGTCTAGGATAAAAAGTTACACTCTTTACTCTTGATGTAGTGTTTCACATTCATTCTTTTCTCGTATTACTTTTGCCATATTTGTTGACCTTAAAAGAGGTACTAGTTATGTTCTTTATTGACATGTTAAATACACTGGCAGGAATCTACAGACACAAAGGGTGATGAAATGCTTCTAACATGGTTCAGCAGTGTTGCATGGAGTGAGTCTCAGCCCTACTTACTATGCCATTACAGATCCTATCTCTTGATACTGTGCTGTGAGTGGGGAAATCCCTTGATTTCATGTGAAATTCTGCTCACAAACATTGTTCACCATATGATGACAATTTTCATATGGATCAAGCAGCCTTTAGCTGGCAGCCATTACATGTAAACTAACCCATAGGATGTAATACCACACACACAGACACTCTCATCTGAGAACAAGCCCTACCAAACACAGCTGGACATGTTTCTGAGTAGATATGTATATAATTGTGTTTTTACAGAGCTTTTAAAATTAATTATATTTTAAAACTTGAATTATAACATTAAGATCTTTTAATTTAAGCAGTGATATAGTGCTCAAATTTGAAGGCATGTCAGTATCCCTGACTGTGTCTAATACGAAAGAAGAGTTGTTATCTAAGGAGGTAGACCTTGGATTTTTTCATTCTTGCATACATGAACACAAAATTTCAGATTTTTTTCTTCTGAGTAGACTAAAAATGTAGGGGGCTCTTTTTTGGCAGATTTTCAATTCTCTTTTTTTTAGCATTTAAGAACATTTTCTGAAAAATTCATTTGCATGAAAAAAGGGGTACTTCTCACAAAGCAGACACTGTTTTCTGTGCACAGCTCTTTCTTTTTGTGAAAAACCCCAAGATTTTTGTGCAATTGACCTTTTCCAAAGCAAATTGTGGAACATGCCAGTTTCCCCCCCCCCAAAAAAGTTGGCTTAGTACAACAAGACCCCTTCCTTGCCAATTAAGAGAAATTGTCCTAACACCCATGATTTCATATCTCCCAGAAGCACTCTCCAAATACTTTGCCAAATACTAATGAGATCCATTGTATCAATACTGTTGTTGGGAAACCCATCTTCCCACCCCTCTTAAGTTGAAGACTAAGTCAGAAAGTAGGGAAGGACTTGAGGTCTCTGGTAATAAGGTGCCCTAGGATCATACATGTCAAATACATGTTGAACCACATCCCTACAGCTTTCATTAGTGTCTATTAAATCATTTTTATCTTTATATGTTAAGAGTTCAAGTTCATCATGTTTATTTCCTCTGTACTATACATTAGTGTAGAAACACTTGATACTATGGTTAATTAGCTCCAGATCATCCTCATTATTGCTTTCTGCCCGGGGATAGAATCATGTTCCACACTGTATTTTTGCTTTCATTATTTTAGCTTTCAGTGCAGTTTCAAACTACATTGAATGGCAATGTCGATAGGGCCTTGGTGACCAGAAAGTTCTAGGTGCACTACATCATTGATTTAAGATAACATTAAGGATGTCATAACTCAATCGAGTAAAGGTGTACAAAGTGTTTGAGCCACTGTTTAAATAATGCTACTGCTTTTAAAATTAATTTTGTTGAGGATAATAGTAAAACTGATTTACAGCTAAGTTAGTTTGTATTGGCATATACGCATATTTAAATAGCCAGCTGTTAACTTATTGTTTCCAAATGCAATTGCCATGGCCCAGCATCACACAGATGGGAGCTTCCCATTTCATGTTAAGAGAGGAAATTATCTCTGCTACCATATTGCATTTCTTCTCATATATAAGAGCAACTCATGTATGCATTGTGTACTGTATTGTTACTCATTGGTTATGATCCATCCCTGTAGACTATGCATCAAAATAGGAGCATTTAATAATTCTATCATAATCAGAATAGCAGAAATACAAAAAAACAACAACACTGTATTAGCTTATCAATGCATCCCTTTCTGAGACATTTTTAGCAGTCTCTTTTTCAAGGCATTGACCCATCTTACGCAGTACTGTATGTCTACAAGGAGGCCTTTGTGCATATGGAAAACAACTCTTCTAGATAGGCTTTAATATGTATTCATGCTATTGGGCTCTGTTTCCCCTTTGCTAGGATCCATCTGCATGATCATTTTAAAATTTGTAAAATGGGATGTCAGCCATTGAGTGCCATTCAGTTCCCATTAAAAGTAAGGAGAAAGAGCTAGCAAGATGACAAGGAAAAGTTGTGCAACTTCTCATACCTGGATAGGTGTGTTCTAATGACTAGCAGAGATGGAGTAATAACCTAAAATTAAAAGTATAGCTTCCAAAAAAAAGTTAATTTATAGAGAGAGGTAACAGTAAAAAGAGAAGTAACTAGACTACTGAATATTAAAAGTACATGCAACAGGTGTCCCTGACACTAGCACAAAACCATTTCACGCCACAATAGTAATAGCTTTATGCTCACTAGGGGAAGAAAGTATTCAAGAATCCAAAATTCTAGTCATGGGATATATATGGAAATTATAATACAGTATTCCCTCACTTATCGCGGGTGTTACTTCCAAGGCCACCCGCGAAAAGTGAAAATCTGGAAAGTAGGGATGCTATATACCCGCAAAACAGCGAGTCCGCAAAAAGCGAACCGCAAAGTAGCGAGGGAACACTGTACTCTTGCAATCAACAATAGTATTTCAAGAGAACATGGGTTCAAAAAACCAACCAAAAAAGATAATGTGCAAAAACTAATGATGCCGGAACGTCCTTAATGAAGTGCCTCTATGAATAGCCCAGGGTTGCTTACACATGTCTTTATCTGTAATCTGAGAGAATGTGAGAAAATGCACTTTACTTTTGTTGAGCTCATGATTTAGATCAATACAATGACTTTAACCAAGATCTAAAATAATAACAGTAAAGAGATCTGCTTTGAAAAATAAAATAAAATTGGCATTTGGTAACAATGGTAAAATTGGCAACAGTGGCCAAGATCCTGTTGGGTCTTTATGCCACTCAAAGAAACCTATCCGCAGATGTCAAAGGAAGTAGTTCCCTCTCTTTGCCAAAGACCCCGTTGTCCATGTTCCTCTCTTATCTTCTGGACCATATACCAAGGGATACATGGGTTACATCAGGAGGGGAAATCAACATCTTCAGAGATGTTTCTGACAGGTTTTCTACCCTTTAGGACCCAATTGGAATTTGCTCAGTGTATTTCTAACTTACGACCCAGTTTACAGATGGTGGTGCTTGCCTGCCATACAGATGTTTGGTGTTACAATCTTTAATATAGCCAGTGAGAAATAATAAGAGAAGTAGTAAGGGGCTACATTCAGTCTATACACAATATACAAATCAAAGCAAATATCTAACTGCATATAAAAAGACACACAGGAGCCTGATTTTTCAGACTTTTGCATATACTCAACTGCAAGTGCAAGAGGACATGTGTGTTTACTGCATGTTATGCTCCTTTCTGTCTGCAGTAATTACTAGGCTGTGTAGTCATTTTCAATTCTCTAATTCTGTATGCTCAGTATCACTAAATTTATGACTATTTGTACACATGGGCTTCTTTTGATGTGAATTTACAAAAGGAAAGTTTATTTTAAATAAATGATCAGGGCTGTTCAATTATGCAAAATATAGATAAATTATTATCATGTTTCTATAAAGTGTTTATATAATATTCTGAAAAATACAAATTTTATAAGTTATGTTTTTAATTGTGGGGATGCGGGTTTATTTCCAAAATTATTTGTTCTTGAATGTGTTGAGAAATGCTATGTAAATTAATACAAATGCCTTAATTTCGCTAATTAGCCCTCTTCCAAGTTTCACCACAGAACTGAAACGAAAGTAGTTTTAGAAGGATCTTTAATGGTTGTTAAATTAGATTGGTACTGTTTTTGCAAGAAATTAAAGACTATTCTTTTCACTATTAAAATGTTTTGTATTCTTCAGTATTTAAAAAATGTCATTGTTAATAAAGCTCAAATCTCATCGTAAACAAATGACTTTTTCTTGGAAAGAAAACATTAAGCTGCTCACAAAGGGTGGGGGAATCAAATCAAATCATTAGCTAGGGCACTTCTGAACTGTAGAATTAAAGCAGTGACACCACTTAAACTATCATGGCTCAGTGTTATGAAATCCTTGGATATGTAGTTTGTGTGAAGTACCTGTACTCTGGCAAAAAAGGACACAGACCTTGTTAAACTACAACTCCCATAATCCCAGAGCATTGAGCCATAGCAATTAAAGTTGTGCCAAACTGCATTCATTCTACAGTGTAGATGCACCCTTTGTGACAATGTATGAAAATTGAGCAAAAGATTGTAATCCTGCATCATCAGGCAAAATATAAACTAGGTGGAACTACAACTGTCTCCTTCCATCCACATGGAGACTAGATGCATAGTACAGCAATTCTCCATGACCCTGTCCCCATGGACAGCCATGAAGGGCCCAAAAGATGACGGCATCATTGCATGCCCAAATACAAGAACATAGCCACAAACACTGGCTGTTTCCTGCCTTCTCTGACCAGTAAACATCCATAGGTAAGTGCAGTGCACACAGTGACTGTAAAGAGACACATGCAGTGGTGAGGTCTACATGTATCCGTGCGCAACCAATAGGATGCCAACCAAGAACTCTATGTAAAGAAGTACTTCGCTCTATATAACTCTCCAATCACTGAGCATTTTTCAATAACTTCAAGTTCTGATACTATGGCCCCTTCCACACAGCTGAATAAAATCCCATTTTTCTGCTTTGTACTGGAATATATGGCAGTGTGGACCAGTTCAAAGCAGTTATTGTGGGATTTTCTACCTTGTTATATGGCTGTTGTAGTTCAGCCAGCTGATGGTGATGATGAGGGGTTTGGGGGTGCAGGTCCTGATGCTGATGCTTCTGGAGGTGCTCAGACAGAGGGGATGTTGGAACAGGATAGTGATTCCCCGGTTGCGGAGGGGGATTTGGAATTAGATGTTGCTCCTCTGTGAAAATGAAACTTGTTTTAGAAGCTGACAGGCAGAGAAAGGAGGAGGGCATGAGTTCCCTTGATGAAGAGGGTTTAGAAAGAATCAAGGCTGCTCCTGCGGGGGAAGAAATCCAGGTGCAAGCAGAGCCATGGGAAAGAGAGGCCGAGACAGGCTTCTCAAGGCCAATGGAATGCCTTCATGCATTGATGCCCTTAATTAGAGAAAGGAAGCTGTTTGGTTTTCGATCAAGCAATGTTGCAAATGGAGTGAGAAGCTTCTGCTTTGTTCCTGGTCATGTCTTAGCTTCAGGCCAAGTTTTCTAGTCAAGTTTTGCTACCACTGTTGGGAACTTTATTTTTGGATTCAAGCTCTTGTTTTTTCCTTGAATTTTGGATTAATGTTCAAGCTTTAAACTTTGTGTTGGAGATTTGTCTTTTGTTTTTTGGGACTCTTTCTACTTATATTTGGACTTTTACTCTTTTACTGTGTGTTTTATCAATAAACTGTTTATTACTACATTTGGCTTCCTGGTGAGTGCTTTGAGCAAGGTGAACTCCTGTTGAGGTGTAACCGTGGCTGTGTGGAAGGGCTCAGAGTGAACACATTTGCTATCCCCCATTTGCTAATACAGTAGAGTTTCACTTATCCAACCTTTGTTTATCCGACATTTTGTCTTATCCAATGCCCTCTTTTCCTCCAGCATTTCTCCTTCAATTAAACAAGTGGTCCCCAACTCTCTCCATTCCCAATAAGTGAAAAGGGCAAGACCAGGAGGAGGAGGGAGGAAAGGGGGAAAAGAGGCAGGACTGGAAGCGGAAGCATCCTCCCTCCTTCCCTCTGTGATTTCCACGCTCCTCTTCTGCATCCAAGCACTTCCTGCTGGGCTGCTCTAGCCCCGAGGTGTTGCCTTGCCGTAACCCTTTGAGTCCCTGTTGTTAGTATTCTAAGTGTCTAGTGCCGTGTCGGATGGGTAACAGTAGGAGACTCTGTATTCTCTGACATTTTTGTTTATCCGACATTCTGCCAGCCCATTTATGTCGAATAAACGAGACTCTACTGTATGCTTTTAGAACATAGTTCTGCTAAGGCTACAACCAAACACTTCCACTAAAGAGCAAGCAAATGTAGTAAGGCATACTTCTATGGAAGCATGAATAGGATTGTAATTCAAAAATTAAATCCATTAAAGATGACAGATGCTGGGAAGCGCCTGAATAACAAACTGCTTTTCAGCCATTGACAGCATTATGCCATCAAATCACATCAGGCAATTCCACAAATTAAACCCATTTATAATCTGCTTTATAACTAGATACTTCTGTTAACTAGAAACTGAAGCTGCTGAAATGTAATTCATTTGGAGCAGATTTTATCATTATTCCTTATATTCCCCAGAGTTGGTCGTGGAAGCTGTCTCTTCCAATTCAATCCAATTGCCCATACACTAAGAGCTCAGTGGTAGCAGCTGGGTTGAGGCTAAGGAAAGCTTCATGCTATTTTCCCTAAGACAAAAGACCCTCCACTTAGTACACATTAAGAATTCATTAATTAAGCCATTAAATTCTTAAATACAAAGGCAGACAGCAAAACTGGGTTTCTGAAGGTTGAAAGGGAATCATGACAGGCCCAGCGGCAGTGGACTAAATTGTTGAAATCCACAAAGAAAACATCCATAACATCTCTATATTTTTTCTCTTATTAAAAAGATTCAGAATTGGCTCATAAAAGCAACTTGGCATGTAGTGACCACTGGAAGAAAAGGATTAAAATCACTTGCCTATGACAAGTTGGTTTTACAAACTCATTTCTATAAAACACACAATTTTACTGCCTATATATTTTATATAATTGTGTTTGTTAAATTATTTACTAGTTGAACCCCAGTCCACCCACCACTGGCAAATGTAAATAAATTCTGAGGCTGCATCTGCATAGTCTAATTAATGCAGTTTGACATCACTTTATCTGCCACGGCTCAATGCTGTGGAATTGTGGGAGCTGTAGTTTGGTGAGGCACTAGCACTTTGGCAGAGAATGCTAAAGACCTTGTAACACCATAACTAAGATGTTTACAAGTTCACACAGGATTCCAGCCATGATCTGACCCAAGTCAGGCTCTGGACACATCAGTCTTCTTACGTGTACTTGACACAAAACTCACGTTTCCTGCAATGACAGGGCAAAACAATATGAACCGTATTTTCAAACGAAATTTCTCCATAAGATACTAAACTATTCCTCTGCCCATCACTTCTTCCTTTGGCCACACTTTGCTTATTTTTTGTGCAGCTGAGATCATTTCTTGTCTGAATGACAGCACTTTAAGAGTTGGAAGGCACCAAATAGCTATCTAATCCAAACTTCTGCCAGGCAGAAAGACACAACTGAAGTGCTCCTACAAAATGCCCACTGACTTCTGTTCAAGATCATCCAAAAATGTCCACCACACCACAAAATGCACAATAACAGATGGGAAATGGATGGAACTTTTCTGGCATTTCCTACTTGAAATAATCTGCCAAATTTCTACTTTACAGGAGTTTAATAGGAATCTGCATCTTAAAAGAAGTTTTGTGACATAGATAGCTCTATATTGTATTGTTTTTACGACGGTTCATCACTTTGAGGCTCTTTAAGAGAAAAAAAGGTAGAATATCATCATCATCATCATCATCCTAGGTCCTTGGAAAGAGCTCAATATTCAGAGATGAATTGCAGACACTTCCACCTAATGTGCATGGGTGCCGTGTTATGTGCATGCAATTGTTGTTGTTATGGCTCTGCTCCAAGCTGCCTATATCTCCAACCTTTAAAGCCCCACCATATCTCACCATGTTAAAACAGTGGATGTGACTCTTAATGAGACATGCCACATTATCACAGGATGTCTGCATCCTACACGTCTGTAGAAATTATACGGTTTAGCCGCTATCGCACCACCTGACATCCTTCAGGAAAAAGCAGCCAGTAATAAAAGGACCAAGGCATTGACATCTCTGACCCATCCTCTGTTTAGATATCAGCCAGCACACCAACGCCTTAAATCAAGAAATAGCTACCTAAGATCTACAGAGATACTTGTAGGAACACCTCAGCAAACTAGAGTCCAAAAGTGGCAGGCTACAACCTGGAACCTCAATCAGTTGCTGAGACTGGATGAGAAACTCCCTCCTGGACACACAGAAAACTGGTCAACTTGGAAGGCACTGAACAGACTGCACTCTGACACCACGAGATGCAGAGCCAACCTTAAGACATGGGCTGTAAGTGGAGTCAGCGACATGCGAGTGTGGAGAAGAGAAAACCAGAGACCACTTACTATCTGAGCCCTGCCACATGCACAATGAAGGACGTTTTCACAGAAATCTAGTATGATGCCAAGTTTTAAACTTTGTGGTTTTTTATACATTGTAACTTTATTCTTAATTCGCTTCTGGCACGATAAAAAAAAGGAAGTGGCAGACATGCTCTGGCAGCTTTAAAAGCACTTGTAATATTAAAATAGAAGAGACTTTGCCTCTAATTAATTAAAAATATGGATTCCCACGCAAAAGTGGTAAAGAGAAAGATGTTATCATAACTTGATTAGATCTGGTCCCGGGCCAACTGTAAGTAATCCTCCCAAATTCCCTTGTTTGTCGAAGTCAACAGAATTTCAATGGGAGCAGTTAACTTTGGCTGGATTTTGTACAGTATATAAAAAAATGCTGTCCTATTAATAGATTGTTGATGTATAAATGAAACAACACTGATACCCTCTGCTGGACAAAGTGCATATAACGCTTAAATGAAAAAGCTGCATTTTGTAGGTGTCACTTTGGAGACTGATAAATTAACCCAGAAACCATACACACACACACATGTAATGTATGTATGTATTAGGACAAGAATTCAAATAAAGAATGCAGCCAGAATGCTAGTTTCGAGCTCCGTTGTGTCCTGCATGCAAAAAGGATGCTACTGAGAGTATGGTGTCCCCCTCTGTCCCCATTTCATCACAGCGTTTTGCAATTATCTTCCAACAA